TACTAATAACGATGTGTCATATTTATTTAATGGACCCTCCAATAATATTTGAAAAAGAAACTTTTTTAATAACTTCGCGTTATAATCAGTTATTTTTATTTGTACGACCAAAAGTCTTTTATCAATAAAATTTCAAAAAACTAAATTTCGTTTCACAGAACAAATTTCAATTATCTATTGTGAATTAAAAAATCTATTCGCTTTTTCTTGTATTACTTGTAACATCGGACTAAATGTAGCGAGAGGGTAATGAGATTATTGATAGTAACTTCACGGATTACTTCACAGTTCACGGTACGGTAAATAATGCATGATTGGTTAAGAATTGGCAAAATCCTAACCAATCAAATACATTACTTACCGTGAGAGTTGGGTATTGTGAATACTGTAATGTTGGAAGTAAAAGAAAAGAAATATAAAAAATCAAGTAAACCAAGAAATGACGAGAACGGATTTGATTATACGTCAATAATGTGAATACCATAAAAATTCGTATTGTTAGATATAATTCCACTCAAAAAAAATCATAATTTTTCACATTGTTAGGATGCCAAGTTGTTATAAATATATTTTCCTTGCGATGTTCATAACTTCATAATTTTATGCTGTAACTTCGTTAACTTCGTTGTTTAATATTTTTTATTTATTTTTATTCTTCCGATTATTATTTTGCGTAGCTTTAAATAATGAGCGTTTAGTGATTAACAATTATTTGAGTTAAAGAGCGTCAATGTTGAGACAACACTGATTAATTAATTTATTGACATCATAATTATTCGATTGCTTATTAATAAAACCCTTCTGCTTACATTAAATATATAAATACATAAACGAAAGAATTGGATACAACAGCATCTATGTTTCGAAGTCACGAGATAAAATTTTTACATATAAAACGCCGGATGATTCATTCGTACCAAACTTCTGCCTAAACCAGCTCAAAACCTATGTGATTCTCAGGTATTGTTACTTGACCCATAATGGTTTATAGGGTAATCCTTGGCCAACCATTATCGTTGAGGTGGCTAATACACAAAGTCTTTTGAGAATTATGCATAAGACCACCGTGTAGAAGACGTTATTGTATTAAAGTTATGGAAATGAAATTCGAGAAGGGAATCCCTTTGCGCCGTTTCACAGTTCAGTATTGTTTTTAAAAAATATCTAAATCTCTGCGAATATGAAAGCCAAACATCGCACAGCCCTTGTTCATTTGGCAAGGATCTGTTTGCTAAAGCAAACCTATTACATGACGAAATTTCCCGCCTTGCTCTATGCTTTTACAGATACTATTGGGATACCATTTTGATAAGCCTCACAACATTTAACCACAACCCATTGATCCTCTATACCATTCTTTATATTTTCGCTTTCATGGTCTTCATTACAATCTATCGCCATAACTCTCACTATATATAAGAAAATTTATCTAGCACTTTGTAATAACGGATTTTTGCTTCTCATCTGGATTATCAGGTAACGTGTGGATGGTACATTTACTTCTATATCGGGTAATTTTCCGCAAGAAAGCAAAGTAATAGGTGTGGTAGCATTTTCGATTACATGATTTCGATCCTGACCAATGGGGCTACACCTGTTTAACTTGCGCTAGGGTGTACGATAAGTTTTAACGAATTGTCAGTTGCGTAATGATATATATACCTCAGGTTTTTTTTTCAGTTTTCGCAAATCCTTCCTTTTCCGAACCGAAAAAATGTCCACTAGTGCAATACAAACTCTCAGAACACTAATTAATAGTCTTGGTTTCATTGAAGAGGAAAAAGGTGCTTTAAGAAAATATTTTGTTGGAAATGAAAAACGACAAAATGATGCGCTGACTTTCCTTCCTGACTACACAACGAATGAAGCGAAGCTTGAATTCTTGAAATTTCTAATCTCTACGCCTGGTATGTTCTCTCAAAGAGGTTTAATCGAAATATTAAATAATGTGCTTGACCTCGTTGTTCTTCTTTTTCTCTACCGGTCTTTCATATTCGCCGATAATACCGAATATTTACTTAACCTTGTGATTTTCTTTCCTGCTTTTTATCGTCAAACCCGCCCAAAAAACACATTCGCATTATCGTAGAGCAACCTGCTACCACCGGTAAGTGAGTCGCAATAAATTTATCGAGCGAGTGAATGCAACCCGCAACTTAGCTTTTTGTTGGCCGTGATTCTTTCACTTTATATATAATACATACCGAACTGGTTTAAGCAAATTATTTTTTCATGTAGTAAGTACTTCAAAGGAAAATACCGGATATGTACACGTTTTCGTCGATAACTCAAATCTATACGTTGAGGCGAAATATTCTGTTGGCCAACTTGAAAAGATTTATGACCGAGTTAAAAAAATTAACGAAGCTACTAAAGTTGAAGAATATCATCAAGTTTACTATATGAAACATCTTCGGATAGACTACGGATGCCTCCTTACTACTATTCTGAGTGGACGTAGTATGGGTAGCAGTCCAGTTATTGTGGGTTCTCGCCCACCACCAGACGATACGCTGTGGAACAAAATCAAAGGCCTTGAACATGAAGTAACCGTGTACGATCGAAACAATGAAAACAAAGAGAAGCGGGTTGATATGAAACTTGGAATCTCTATGGTGATCCAAACTCTCCTTAAGGCCAAAGGTCCTGGCGTATTGGTGCTGATAGCTGGTGACGGGGATTATGAACCCGCATTAGAGGAAATATTGAAAGCGGGGTGGAAAGTTGAGATACGATTCTGGGCTTCTGGTATGAAATATCATAGTCTTGTAATCATAAGTTGTTAAACAGTTAAAGTGCTGTACTTGAAATTGTTCCAATTATTTTACAATGTCTCGTCACCTTAAAACCCCAGATATCACTCGTAAAAATAAAGAAATAAAAATAGTATACAAACCTCTGAATAATGAATACCAGAATTTTACATTCTGCGTCGGACCTGATCTCACCAAGAAAAAGAGTATTTTTTCGAATCGAACGTGATGATATGAATCGCATTTGGAAAAGTGAAGAAATAATGAAATGTAATACAGAATTGCAATTGTTCTGTTGGTGGTGCGAAACAAATGATGGAGCACTGGAGTTATATTTCAATAGTAATGCGCAGTTGGAGAGGGCAGATCTTTGGATGAAGAAAAACTTTCCGAATGTAAGCTTTGATGCATTGCCAATTCATTTTAAAAGTCTCATTCATGACTGTCAATCATGGTTTAATAATTACATATGAGACCGTAACGTAAAACATTATACTGCCTTTGAAATTTTATTTATTTTGTATCGTCCATTTTCTTATAGGTGTGCTTGATGTGCTCCCAAACTAATTTAAGTATCAAATAATGCTTCTTAAAAGTACATCATTTATCTCAATTCAAGAAATAAGTAGTTGGTCCAAATATAGCCGTTAATGATTCTTTAATCTATCAAGACTTAAGAATGTTAATTGATGAAATAAGTGGCTCTTTATTGAATAAATAAAATCACTTTTTGGATTAAACCTTGCTCAACTTTCTTATTTTCGGACAATAGATGAAGAAAAGGTTTCTGAGATGAAATATACTTATCTTCTAGAGAAATACCCTGTAATCTGATTTAATCAATCAGAGATACGTTCTGAACTTGTTTTACTAAAGCTTTTTCTCTGCCTTATCTTATCACAATCAAGCTTGTGTTACGAAACATGGTTTCATCAGAAAAAACCACTTTTTTCTAATTGTAATGCAAGTGGTCATGTGCCCAAGACAAGCGATCGTCTTTCACTTTCTGGATCAATAGAGGGACTTTCTGGGGAAGAACTGATACATAACTAAGATCATGAAGTTCTCGTTAGATAGTTGTTTCACTGACCTCCAAATTTGTATCCTTTTCTTCAAGTATGGCCTTCAATTCTCCTACTGTAGTGAAA